TGGTGCACAAAACTCTTTTTTATGCTTGGCAAATGACTTTTACGAAAAACCTACAAAGCTATATGAACCACCGAGTGGAAGTATTTCAGACTTTCAAGTATGGTTTACAACAGATGGAAGAAAGAGAATAGTTCCATTATACCATGCGTTTTACTTAGAACTTAGTTTCATATACAACTACTATCGAACGGTAAAAATATAATTTTTTAATACGGTTGAGGTGTTGGATTTGGTTGCCAACTAGACTGTGGTGCAGGTTCAGGCTGTTGTATAACAGGAGCTTGTTCTTCTGGTTCAGGGTCTTTAGGTATAATACCAACGAACTGACCTACTCTTTTACCAATATTTTTGACTCCGTTCCAAATTCCTCTTCCTACGGTTTTTATTCCATTCCATATACCTCTTCCAACTCTTCTGAAGAAGTTTCCAATACTACTGAAGAAACCCATTTTACTATATGTAAAAATCTAATGTCCGCCTAGTCTCTTACGTTTCCTGTTGAGTTCCATAGCATTCTTTAACTGGAGCTCATACATTCTGTTTCTCCTCTGGTAGAAAACATATTCTGGGTCAACTCCTGTGTTCGCGTCATCTGCATAAAGTTGTTTATATCCCACTTCAGGGTTTGTATAAAACTCTTTCCATCTCATATTTGCATACCATGGTGGCAAACCTAACGCAGCGTCATTTGACATGGCAGTTTGCATTTGTACATCTGTTGGCACTTGACCATAGTTTGCCATTGCAGTTTGTATTCTAACTTCATTTGAAATATTCTCTGGGTTTGGTTGTCCAGGTTGCTGTGCATTCGCTAAGTTCTGTGCGTCCATTTAATATTAGATAAAAATATCTCTTACGAGTACATATACTGAACATTTGCAGACATTGGTTCATCTTCATATTCTCTGTACTTTTCTGCCACGTCAAATAAGTAAATGACACAATGGAAAAAACCTAAAACAAGTAGTCCTATTTCAAACCACATTTACTTACTAGTAAAATTTCTTTGTTATGACACTTTCTCCGGTTTATAGGACCTCTCTCATATTCTATCTTGTCATATCTAAACTCATAGTCATGTATGTCCTCTAACCATCTCATAACGGTTTCCAAACCACTTTTATCGGATGTAAAGTAAAAGCATGGATGGTTATGTAAAACGTCTAAAGTTTCTAAAGAGTCTCTCAAAGTCCAGTCTACTTGGTATTGAAAATCCCATGTGTTATAGAACGGCGGGTCTACTATAAAGAAAACATTTTCCTTGTCTTTATATTTTTCATACAACTCTGTCCAATGACATCTCACAAACTCTATACCCTCAATATATTTTTCTATGTCCTCTTTGAAAACATTTGTATAGTTAAGATATAAAACTTTTGACATAAGTGTTTCAATGTCATGAACTCTTATAGAACCACTATATAATAGTCTAGCAGATATACTATCCCAGTCAATATATTCTGCTTTTTTCAAAACCTCTCTCACAATATTTTTCTTATCTAATGGTATACGTTCCATCTTACCTATAGGTATCTTTTCTTTTAACTCACTCAATATTTTGTTAGTGTCTGGTATATGTTTGAGACGGTTCATATAGTTGTCGAAGTCATTGCATATAATCTTTGAGTCAGGAAATATTGTATGGCACAAATGGGATATATAGAAACTTCCACCGAACAAATCTACAAATGTTAGACCATTCGGTAGTTTCTTAAGTTCTCTCAATAGAATATCTTTACATCTACTCTTATTTCCAAAGAAGGGTAACGGTGGTTTTGTAAAATTCATTTTATATACAATAATAAAAATGTTTTTACCTGAAAAGTGACAGAAAAGGCTTCTCAAAGTATACTTCCTTGGAACGCCCGTAACTTTTCCTGTAGCGACGATAGACCCTTACTTGTCCGGACAAAGTTGTACTATTTTGAGTGCTCTACTAAAAAGTCAACGACGACGACTCTCAAAAATTTTTATGGGCTAGAAGGGGCGCAGCCCCTGGGAAGCCCCCTATACCCAAAAAAACTTCATTTTATACTTCATTTATACTAAACATCTTCGGGGCTAGAGGGCACGTAGTGCCTGGAGGCCCCACTACCTTTTTTTTTTTTTGAATATTATATAAAAAGGTCTCTTTAATATCTATATTTCATATTTTTATCGATTTTTAAAGTTTTTGCGAAAAGTATTCAATTATTGTTGCTATTTGGTCGGGTAAATGTCAGATTTGCGACATTTTCTGATATGATATTCAGATTCTACGTTGATAATAATACTTATAGAACCCTCTTGCTATTGTGTCAAAATTGCGAAACCGATAGCAAAAATATCTCGCAATATCAAAATTGAGATATTGAGTGAATTATGCATTATAGAGATTAAAAATCTGATTTGTGAAAACATCTCATCAGTTTCTAGCTAATTCAAAAATCTTTACTATCTTATTCGATTAAAATGAAAAGGGAATAGTTTCATTATGCTTTAAATGACAGCCTTATAATATAATCATAGTTTTCGCTCAATATGCAGCATTTTTTTTTCGAAATCTATGGTCAATGTCCTAAATACTGATTGCTTTGCATTCATATCTCTTACATTTTCTATACCCACATCACTATTCATTGCTATTCCTATCTTTTTCATTTTTGTTTGTTTCTCATAATTTCTCAAAAAACATGATAACTTGATATTTGTAAATATCATACTTTATAACGTAAATAAGAACTTGACCTATTAAGAAAAGCAGTAATGAAAAGAAAATCTGAAATTCATAAAAATTACAAGTTTCTGATGACAATTAGCTTAATTAAACCAGGTACAAGATTATATAATTGTATTTTCTATCCAATTATCCATATAATATCTTATCCAGAAAAAATAACTTGATCAATACCAAATGATTTTTTAACTAGTAAATATGTAGTAAACAGAAATTCATCAAAAGTGACACCTCAGAAAAGCTAAAATATTGAATTTTTGGAACTTTTGATAGAGCACGTTTTTAAATATTAATTAAAGTAAATGTATATTTTGTAAAGATTCTTTTTAATAAAAAAATAAAATTTTGAAGAAGAACACAAAATCTTCTGAAAAATAATATCACATAAACTCATATTATTTTCTAATATATAACTATTTTATATAAAAATCCAATTCAATGATCTTAAAAGCAAAAATTGATATTTCATATGGTTTTATGATAGATAAGCATTATATTCCCACTCATTATATTCGTAAATTTTGAGGTTTATCCTTCGCTTTTAAGATCATTGAATTGGATTTTTATATAAAATAGTTATATATTAGAAAATAATATGAGTTTATGTGATATTATTTTTCAGAAGATTTCATTCTATATGCCTATGAAAAGTACTCTCAAAACTAACTTTTCCCTAATTATAATTAAATCTAGAATATTGTATTATGCTTAGTATTATTTCATTTTTCTCATTCAATTTAGAATTTACAAATGTCAAAAAATTGAGAGCTGTCACTTTTGATGAATTTCTGTTTATTACAAATAAAGTATTTTCTTTACACACACATTGTATATCATAGTTTTTTTTTTTGTTTCGCAAAACATCCAAAAACAAATATGCTATAAAAGTGACAATTTTAGCAAAACGAAACCCTTATTATAATTTTGGAAAATACTAATCACAGTATCCTTTCACAAAGTACAAAATAAAATTAAAAACACGTTGGATAATTTCTTATTGTTTTATTTTTTACGGAAAATTCTTTTTAATTTATTTAACTTATGTCCATATTTAATGAAAAACAATTAATCAATAATGCGAAATTTTCATAGTAATTCAGTGAGTAGGGGTAATTTTAGCTAAAAGTGACACACCCGTGAAGGGTGTGATTACCGATCGGTAATTTCGACAGTTTAGAATTTAAAATTTTTTATGGAACTGTTGCGAGTTTCATAAAGAATTTAAGGAATATAAGCAAAGATTTGAATCAAAATCTTAGACCCAAGCCGCTCGATTCGCTCGCGGCTTCCGCGAATTACAGATCAGCAAAGATTTGAATCAAAATCTTCGAACTAAGCCGATCGCTTCGCTCGCGGCTTTCTTTATTATTTTAAATTTGCATATTTCCATCAAAAGTTCATAAGGTAAAAAATTTCGTTTATTTTTACTAAGAAAAAAAGGTTTTTGATAATAAATTTATTTTATTTCGAAAAAGTAGCAATAATCGTAAAAGGGTATTGATAGGCTTGCTAAAGTAACTAATTTTAGCTGTCAAATACTTTTGTATTTTGAAGTAAATTAGTATAAATTTGTTTTTACTTTTATTTCGAAAAAGTAGCAATAATCGTAAAAGGGTATTGATAGGCTTGCTAAAGTAACTAATTTTAGCTGTCAAATACTTTTGTATTTTGAAGTAAATTAGTATAAATTTGATATTATTTTAACTCCCTTTGAAAACCTCAATTTTCCATACAGAGGGAACGGGAATAGCATCCAATATTCCCTGAGAATGGTTGCGCATTCTCAGTTCCCTCTATATTTCGAACGAAGCTCTCATCGGTCTTTTTTTTAATACTAAACGTTTTTTTTTCTGTCACTTTTAGCTAAAATATGGGTTTGCCGTAATTCAGTCAATTTCGACGTAGACACAATAACAAAAATACTAAACTATCTTCTCATAATGAAGGTTTTTGGTGCAACGTGTTTAATACTTTTTCAATGGCATCATAAAAACTACTCATGTCTCAAATTAATGAGCTCATTTTTATTGCTACAGCTCATCAATTATTCTCTATTATATATATATTTAATTATAAGTATAAAATTACATGACCATTTCAGTCTCTCAAATTATAAAAATGATTTAGAATCATACATTATTGAAGCATTAACTCTTAATCATATTCTTGTATAAAAAAGATTTATGTAGATCATATCCAATTGAAAACAACTATTTTCGGTTAATATCACAAAATTGAGTTCGATAGGTTTGAGAATGTTATCGACATCGGTTCATTCCTAAACATGTACGACTACGAGGGTGGTTTGTTTGGATGCTTCAAGGATATCACAGGATGCTTATTCTCAATGTGTTGCGCCCCATGCTCAAATGGTGAGAACTGGGCCAAGGTTCGTGATGAAGAATGCACATGGTGCCATGTTTGCATGGTTGTCCATCCTTACTGGGTTCGCAAGTCCGTCCTCAAAAAGAGAGGCGAGAGCGGCAGCAATGTTGCTGACTGCCTCATTACTACATTCTGCGCAGAATGCGTTATTTGCCAGGATCGCCGTGAACTTATTTCCAGCTAAATTGATAAACAGTTGTATGGAGTAAAGTTTATGAATGTTTTCCATTTTACTTTTTTTCCTTGGTTATTTACTTTTTTTTTCCTTCTGTTTCCCTTTATGGGATATGAGTAAGAAATTTTATTTCAACAACTTCTATTGATCATATTATTTGATTCGTTGATCTCCAACCCATTCCAGTAATTTTTCATAATCAAAGATTAAAAGCTTGATGCAAAACTTGCAAAAGAAGACTACGCTATACTCACATACATTGTTTTCGAAACACTTATTAACAATACCATGTTTTTCGATTACAGTTCTATCGTTTATCCATTGACCTTCATCTTTTATTTAAATATCATTTATTTTCTCTTAGCGAAATCAGTGATCACAGTATAAAGCTTCCACGGAGTTTATTTTTTTAATATTCAAATATTTCTTCCCAACAGCTCAAAAAGGAAGATAGGATCGATATGAGCTCATTACAGATATTATTATAATTGTAAATTTGTCCAATTAAATAACTACTATAAAAATTAATCGAGTAGGGGTAATTTTAGCTAAAAGTGACACACCCGTGAAGGGTGTGATTACCGATCGGTAATTTCGACAGTTTAGAATTTAAAATTTTTTATGGAACTGTTGCGAGTTTCATAAAGAATTTAAGGAATATAAGCAAAGATTTGAATCAAAATCTTAGACCCAAGCCGCTCGATTCGCTCGCGGCTTCCGCGAATTACAGATCAGCAAAGATTTGAATCAAAATCTTCGAAAGTAGTATATGTATGCGGGTTGTGTGACTTTTTTTGTAATCGTAAGAATTCTCACATAATTGAATGATTTTTGAACATACTTCTGAATAGCAGATTTTAAAAATTTATGAATAATTTATAAAAAGTTTTTATTCCTACAATTCCTATATTACCATTAATAAAAAGAATATATTTTTTGCATAGATTCCAAATATGGTGTCAATTTTTTATTTAATATAAAATGTATGGAAAAAGAATAATATCTGATTTTGAACATTATTTGATTGATTTACTAATTGATCCACAAAGCTGTTGTAAAATTAATTTTGAATTTAAAATTAAAGGAACCGTAAATTTTGTATTTATTTATCACTTAAAAGAATATGACCGATATCATAATTTGATATATGAAACTAATATAATATTTGAAGATAACAAACTTACAAGCTTCGAACATGAAAATGATATAATATTCGAAGATGAAAAAAAGAAAGAGATTGAAAAGCAATTCAATGAATGCCTTTTAAATACATATGCGCACATTATAAGACATAAAATGAAATTAATTCCTTATTATAAAAATATTTTTTATCTTTATATAAGATGACAAATAGAAAATTTTTCATCTTTTATTTTATAATAAATGAGTATAACAACTAATTCATTGAAATCTTTAAAGTTCACTAATTCAGAATTAGAAAATATTTTAGAAAATTTTGGAGACGGTTCTTATCATCCAACATATATGCAGAATGTGAAAGAGTTTTCCAGATTGTTGAATGAATTTAAATATAACGGACCAATTACTAAAAAGGCTATAATGAGATATTTATATCCCAAAAAAGTTGAAAAACAGGAGAATATTCCTCTTTATGGTCCAGAGGACCTGGGCTCAGAGAGCCTTGAAACACCTCCTGAATATTTTGAAGAAAAAATTAAACAAGATGAATATTATAACGATGAGATTGAGAAATTGGAACAATTAAGAAATGAAATAGATGAAAAAATTAAGGAATTAAGAAATGCTGAGAATGAAGTAGAGGGTTTAATGAATATCCCAGCTTCAGAATCAGAAGTTCAAAAATCACATGAGGAAAGATATAAAAATTACTTTTTGGAATCTACTAAAAATTTATTAGATGGTGATATTGACGAAACACTTTCAGAAGAAGGCACAAAATTTATTCATAAACATAAGTTACAATTTATTGACGATGGAGATTATCCATGTATATTACTTTCACCTCCTCTTGATTCTGAAAAATTCAAAAAAGCACTGAAAAATGTAACATATGCAACAAATACGATTAAGAAAGAAGACCATGATATTTACACAAATTATTATTTAAATAAATGTACAGGTGTTGATAAAGTTTTTGATTTGTTAGATAAAATATCAAAAGAAACAATTGGTACATATAAAATTTTATGCGATTGTGGTTTCATTGTTGAAGATACCGTTGATGTTTCATATGAAAGAACAGCTCCGAAGGAGGACGAAGTGGAAAGATCTATTCCATTCGTTATTAAGAACATAAAAGATATGAAAACTTATAAACATTATATTTATTCATTTATTTCAGAAAAAATGGAAGCAACACATAAATCATCTCGTCATCATTTCATAGCTATTCATACATTCCTTTTCAAAGTTGTGAAATTAAATAAGACAGGAATTAGATTTAATGTATCAGGTTACGCATTCTTGAGTAAATTAAAATGTATTCGTCACGTTGCAGATGATAAAAATTTGTGTGTTCTTAATTCATTTTATGGACTTTAGCCCTGGGCACTTTGTGCCTTGGACTTTAAAAAAATAAACTTTATTTTTATTTATTTTTTAATTTTTTATTCTTACATAATGAACAAAAATGGAACAGCTAAAATGAATGATAATCAAATAAGAGCCGAAGGTAGAAGGTTATTTAAACGCTTCTATAATATTCCCGATGGTGTTAATCCTAAAACTCGTAGAAGTTATTTAAATGAAGCCATAGATGTATATGAAGGATTTGACATTTCATCAGAAAGTGAGAGGTTAGCAAGAATGTTAAACGTTAATATTGATTTCTATTATTGTGATCCTCAACCAGAAGACGTAGACATAAATAAGGTAGACTTCCCATTAGTGGATTCAATAATGATAGATCCAGAATTTGAAACAGTAAATATTTTATTAACACAGAGTCCATGTGGAAAACTTCACGCTGACAGAATAACAGACGTTGAAGCACTCACAGGATATAAAGTTTGCCCCTTTTGCAAAGAAGAAGTATATTCTATCCGTGATGATCCAGAAAGGAAAAACCAAAGAAGATTTTTAAAACATTGTGAGAAATGTAAAGAAAATAATGGAAGATTAATTCAAGACGTTCAGTTGCAAAACACACAACAACCATATGCACCACATATTACGAAACAGAAGATATATCAATGGCTATTAGCACATAATTTGCAGGAATATTATAAACCAACAAGATATTATATTACTTTTGACTTCGAAACATTAGAGACTAAAGAAGAACTTCTACTTTCTGAATGTGCAACTTTGAACGCTTACTTAAAACCATTTATGGTATCATCAACGGTTAAATTAAACGATAAAACATATACAAGGAATTTTTGCTTAACTTCGAGTGATTCGTTCATCTCTGATTGGATTGAATTTTTATTTTCAACCTGTTCATTAGTTGCTAAATCAAATATTGAACAATATGAAGAATTAATGAAGTCCCATACATTAAATGAGAAACAGAAGGAAGCAATGAAAGAGCTTTTAGATGAAGAATTTAATAAAGTGAATATCATTGGTTTTAATTCGGGAAAGTTTGATTTAAATTTAATTCTTCGTGATTTAAATACTGCAAAATGGAAGATAAAATCAATGCTGGGTTCTCTTTCAAATTTAAGCAAGTCATGTAAAGAAAACAAACGTCCATATGAATTGAGATTTATTGACATCAGAAATTATATAGCGGGTGGAACATTAGACCAATTTACTCAAGATTTCGGAAACAATAAAACACGTGTTAAATCATTCTTCCCATATCAATTCATCACATGGGAGAATTACGAAGAAGAATTATATAAAAAGGAACCATTCACTCAAGATTCATTTTATTCAGCATTAACACAAGAAACAATATCCGATTCAGATTATCAAATATATCTCATGATGCTAAAAATTTTGAGAATAGATTAGAATATTTTATTCATTATTGCAATAAAGACGTTGAAATTATGATTGACCCAATTGATAAAATTATTGAAGAAACATTTGTTTATAAAATTGACATGCTCCATAATCTTTCATTATCATCTAATGCATCAATGATTCGTTACGCGTTTAGCATATAAGAACTTCAATCCTAACGAAACATATCCAGAAGAAGAAAATGTGGAATCAAGTTTTGAATTAACGAAAAAGTATTGGAAATATAAAATTGAATCATATAAGAAACAAGATGAAAAGGTGAAAAGAGATACCAAAAAATAATGTTTCAATGGATGACTATCAATATTTTCACGATTTAATCCTTTCATCTAAATGTAAAATGTGTGGTAAAGCGTTTACATATGCAAATAAACCAACATTGGATAGAATTGATAATGAAAAACCACATACTAAAGAAAATTGTCAGTTAATGTGTTGTTATTGCAATGTCGTAAATCAAATAAAGATGAAGAAGTTCAACGTTTAAGAATCAATTTAAGAAATTATGCATTAAAAAAAAATTACCAAGACTTTAGATTCAGTGGAAGCGTATCACATCCTCCGTAATGGAATTACTGGTGGTTTATCAAATGTTCAACATCGTGTTAATCTTAAAGGTATCACCCATATTAATAAACTTTCATATAGTCCAGAAACTAAAACAGTATCAAATGAGGACACTTCCAACATCATGACTCATTTCGTTGGTGTTGATTTCAATTCATTATATCCTTCATCATTTTCATCAAATCCTCATGATTTCATTCAATACACCGATCATAGAATGTATATGCCGGGGAGATTAGAAGATGTTTTAATTTGTGATACAGCAACAAAGAAAGCAAAAGCTTTAGGAATTATTAGAAAGAAAAATACTTTATTCGTGGCTGAAGTAAAGGGTCACATTGATGAAAAGTATATTAATGATTACATAAACTTTTTACCGATAATAAGAAACTTGGATATTATCACAGATGAAAAAACAATTGATGGTTTTATGTATAATTACATGAAATCAAACAATCTACCGGTTGACCAGAAACAGAGAAAATTAACTCAGTTAGCATCAACACACAACCAATATCAACCATTTTCTTCTTATTATCTTTGGTATCTAATAGACAGATTTCATTTTATCATCGATGATATTCAATCAATTTTAACATTTACGAAAAATACTTGTTTTAATGAATTTGCGAACAAATTTATGAACGAAAGACAAAAGGCTGAATTAGAAGGAAATAAAGGAAAAAGTTTATTTTGCAAAATTTCACTTAATGGATCATATGGTTACGATGCAATGAATACACAAAATTACGCAAAGACTAAAATAATGAATGCACAGATGGCACGCGTTGCATGTATGTCAAATAAGTTTAAAAAATAAGAGAAATAGGTGAGGATACATATCAAGTGATGCTCAAAGATAGATTTTATAGATGTGATACATGTTTACAAGAGGCATTCTTCACTTTAGATAACGCAAAATACTGGTATTTGGTTTTCATTTATGATTTTATGTATAAATGCTTGGATGTTAATCGTTTTCATTTCATTGAAGGTGATACTGATTCATCATATTGGGCAATCGCTGGCGACCCAAATCTTCCTAACACTCAAGCATTTTCAAGCGATTGTAACCGATAAAAAATTTTATGATAAAACATTTTCAAATTCGCACCTTTTGATTTCTTCTGTTTTGATGAGAAATTTAAACCTAAATTAAAGAATAAAGCTGAAGAAAAAGCACATGAGAAGAAGTTATTGGGTTTAGCAATTGAGAAACAAGGAGATACATGGTTGCTTTATGCCCTAAGTGTATACATCATTCAACGGAATGATTGGTGAAGACTCCTTCAAAAAGATAGCACAAAAAATGAAAGGTGTTAGTTTAAGACAAAATAAGCAATTAACACCTAAAATTATTTGGATATAATAAATGATAAAGTGATATTTGATGGTCAAAATATTAATTTACAACTTAAAAATGGGTCAATGACTCGCTTAACAATTGGTAAGACTGCATTAACAGGAGCACACACTAAAAGCTGTATGTTGTGAAAATGGATGTTGTATGCCATTTATTTAATGAAATGCCATAGAAGAGACAAAGAGGCGGGCACCCTTAAACATTATTTTATTTTTATATAAATGAATAGCGTAGATTTAAAAATTTTAATTGATGATTTAGTATTTAATCAAAATTTTCTTAGTTATTATGAATTAAAATCATATCTCCAAAAATATGATGAAACAATTACAGGTGATGATATGGTGAATACTATCGGTATTATAAAAACGAAATTTTGAAATATCATGATAAAATAATTAAACGTTTAAGAGAGAACATTAAAGAAGGAAAATATTCAAAGGGAAAAAGTAAATCACAACTTAAACAGTTGAAAGATTTCAAAAATAAAGTATTAACTGAAAAAGATATTGATGAATTATATAATTATATAATCCTGAGCCGCAAAAGCCAAAAGAGAAAAGTTTGGACGTTCAGCAGCTCATAAATGAAGCACAAGCTTTAATTTATGATTCATTAGTTAAAACATATTCAACCCGACTTTTAAATGAAGATCAACTTTTGGAATTCATCCTTCAACATAAACTCGAAGCGGGAAAGTATATCAAACCTTTATATACAGCATATTTAAAACAAATGAATAGAATACATCCGAATTAATGAAGGGGGAATGAAATCCAAAATCAAAGCAGATAAAATTAAACCACTTGCAACACCAAAACCTCCAACGACAGTACCTCCCCCTCCAGTTAATCATTCATCATTCACTTTATTATATCCATTTCAAACATTAAAGAAACAAAAAGATTTTAAAAAGGGTTTCAAGATATTAAATAAACCAATTGACCCGAAAATTCAACCATTAAAAGAAAAATTTAGTCGTCCATCATTTGCACCTTCACCTTATTCATACGAAATCGATCATCTGGAATATTCAAAAGGAAATTTACTTATTTATTTGCCATTAACATTAACACTAGATATTTATATTGCATTCCGGTGAAAGGGAAAACAGAACAGGAAACAAGAAGAGCTATACAATACTTACTAGATCATGAAAGAGTAGATAATATCAGGGTGATGGTGATAAAGGATTTCAGGCAGTTATGACTCATTATTTCCCACAAATTAATTTTTACTTCTCATCCTCTCCATATACGTTTCATAATAAAATAGTTGATGCAGTAATGAGAACTCTTAGAGATGCGTTAGGGGTTAACGGTCAGATATACTGGGATGGAAATCATGACTCCATCATACAGCAGTTAGTATATTATTACAATAATACATGGCATAGAACTATTAACATGAAACCAGTGGAAATGAAAAATGATATTTCAAAAGAATGGGAATATATTAGAAAGCAAATGGAAAGGTTGAATGATGTTAAACGTGAACAAATTAATTCGGGCTCATGAATTTTAAACAAGGGGATAAAGTTTTGATTCATCTCGATTATGGAAAAACTGATAAATCAATGACAAAAAAAGACGAAGATTTGACACAATAGCTGAATTTGTTAGATATATTAACGGCAATG